TCTTCCCTCCCCACTCACATTCATTTCTACTCTCCACTTCTGGTTTTAAAATCTTACGAGTGTGCAGTCAACTTGCCATCTCCATTAATGTCTCCTACATTATAAGATGCAGCTTATGTTGGCTGCATGTACAAAAATTACTTCTGACCCCTGATCAAAAGTTTACTGACTTTTTCAATAACAACTCCCACAGGTTTTGGTTTTGTTTCTTTAGTGAGAAATGTCTTGAGAGTTTACTGCAAGGAAGCATTGTTGAAAGTGTTTTATTTTCAGAGCTGATGTATCCTTGGTTGTACCAATGCCCGTTTGCAGTAACAATGTTGTTGGGATCTGGAGCCACTTACAGTTTTATTTATGGTCTTGGTTTTTCAGTCACAATTAGAATAACTTTTCCAAATGTTTTGGTTTGCAGACGCCATCCAAATAGGTCCTTAACTTGGAAAGCCGTGATCCCTTTACTGAACTACCTTAGTGGTCCATCTTATATTGATGAGTGTTGTGGAAGCTATCCAGTGCATTAAATGCTATTGAATACTCATATGCATGTGCCAAGGGAGAAAAAGAAAACAATTGTTCCCAGAAATATTCAGATTTTGATGAAAGGAACTATTAACAGGCAGAGGTGTTCATTTCAAGAGGTGATTTCAAGCAAACTTTTTTTCCTTTTTAAGATCTATTGATTGTATTGAGGGAGACACATGGTTCAGCAAGGCTTTGAAAGAATAAATAGTTTGTGGTATGTTATAAGTCATCAAGATTTTAAAATAAGAAACACTTGTGTCCTATTGTTTATACAAGTACATCCACACACACAACACTGCAACTGAGATAAAAGCTAAGTTGATGGTTTCAAAAACGCAGTATTAACAATGCCAAAGTAAGTGTGTTGGTAAGTGCAGTGATCATAAACATACTTACTGAAGGAACAAAATGAGCTTTCTTCAAAACACTGTGTTTTAAAACAAAAGTACCTATATCCTTGATATGCCCATTGTCCTAATACAATATGTCAACAAGGCTCAGTTCTCATTGGTTTCATACATCCAGAAAGAATGGGTGCATCTCAAAGAGTAGAATAAAAATACAGCATTGCAAAAATGTTCCTACAATGTGTTACAAGAATTGCAGAGTGTTACCTGGCTTTCCATAAACAAGGTAAAAGGACAAGGCTACTTGAGATAGTTTCTGGAACATAAGATTAGTATTTGACACAAGGGGAGAAAAAAACAGGAGCAGCCAAATTGGCTACAGTCCCTCCAGATCTCATAGTTTCTTATGAGACAGCTCCCAGCCTACCTTTCCAGAATGAAAGCCATTGTTCTGTTGCCAATATTTGTTCATTTGAAATAACAATAAATATAACACTAAATAATGCTCTCCTCTCACATGCATCCCTATGGCTCAGTTAGAAATTCATAACAGGAATATTATGTTTCCCTTCATTTTGTCTATTATTGCAATATGGTCCTACTCAGGAGATGAGAGTCCAGAAACAGCTTCAGCAAAGTAATTTTTGATGACAAGAGGCCAAGATTGGTACAAATTCCAAGTAGTTGTGGCCTATCTCAAACCCAATGAACGACAGAAACTCTGAAACTTTTAGACTCTTGTGCATATCATGGCTCCCCAGTAAAGATTCAGGTGTGCATCTACCCACCTTTCATGTTCCTTCTCTACCTTGGCACACAGACAGGGAGCCAGGTGAGTTCTGGCTGAGTCCACAGTTTCGGTAGAGATGGACATGTTACAACACTCACATTTACTTTAGATATAGCCATAAAGACCAGGATACCAGACTCTCGACTGCTGGTGCATTTCAACTACCTGCTGACTACCCTGATGCATCTGCCTGCAAGAAATTGTCCTGATGGCTATTATCAAGGCTGTAGGAAGCCATATGCTCATCTTTCCTTGCACACCTGCAGTCAAATAAGACTGCGTTGATAAAATGGCAATCAGAAATCTCTCAAAGTTGTTATTTTTGTGAAAACTCTGTAATTTCTTGCTATTGGACTTTTGTAAAGCTTCCAACATCTGAAAATTACATATTCACTTGGACTACAGACATGGGTGGTTGTTGTGTCATTTCTGCCCAAGCAAAATGAAAAATATTATTCCTAATTAAATGGAGATACAGCTCTTTAAACTACTGAAAGTCTTCTCTGAAAGTACTACCTGATTTTCTTCTGGAGCTAGCGAGGACATAAAGTTAAAACAGGCCAGAGATCTGTTTAGACAGATAAAAAACATAAAAACATAAAGACTGATACCCTCCCTCCCTTCCAAACCATCATGCAGTTTGTTGCTTAGAGCCCAGAGCTGTTCAACACCCGGGCAAGGAAAAAAACATCTCATCCATGTAGTTACCTTTTGGAAAATGATGTTCACTTTAAAGTTGCCTTTGCTAGAGGGAACTTTAATTTTATTATCATGTCACCGCTAAGGTTCATCTAATGTCAGATTTTCCACTGCAGTAAAGGAGACTGTGCCTTTGATATTGCCACCACCAGGAAAGATTAGTACACCCATGACAGTGTGCTATCATTAGGAATGAGCACTCCTTCCCTGTAATCATCTCGTAGTTTTTATGAAACTCAGGTCCACAGTGAAGCACAGTCTGTTCCCATGGCCTCTGGTTATTTATGAAAATATCAGCCTTTATTTGTTATTCTTCACACCACAAATAAAAATAAAACCTTCACCCGTTGTGTAGAAAAGAATGGCCATTCTCAGTCATCACACACTGGCACAGCAGGTGAAAAAACAGCACATATTTTCTTGGTCTTTCCACACAGCCTGGGTTTGTTGTTCCTTATAATTATGAAGCACATATCCATGGATATTTGAGAAAGGTACATGGGGACAGGGGTTATACAGTCTGTGAGCTATAAGCAAAATGGCTACAGGAGTAAAGAATTATTCAGGGGTATTTGTGGCTGTAATAGCACTGCTTTTTTGTTGTTGTTTAAATAGGTAAGGACAAAAATAGTAGAAATAAACCTGCCTCATTCAAAGTGTAGTCTTGTGGGAAAATGTAGAATGTATATGTGCATTTGTGTGCATGTGTGTTGTTTCCTTCCTATGAGTGTCTACCTGTTCATTACTTGTTTTATGGAAGGATTTCTAATGTAGTCTAGTATTTGTATGGGTGAGCCATTTCTGTAAGAAGACCATAGGCAACAGAAAAACTAGCATGGGCTCACTACCTACAGTCCTCTACAGACAAGGCTAGCTATGCCTACTGAAATGTCCAAGTTTAATTCAGTCTGAATGCTTAAAGTCTTCAAAACCATTACCTTTTTGGTAGCAGAGGGTGGGGATTTCAACAGGATTGACTTTTCTGGTCATGGTTCATAAAGATGCACACTACCACAAGGTACAGAAATTAATAATGTACGCTCTGGATGGGTGAAAGAAGGAAGAGAGGGACTTCAGATGTCACTCAGATAGCAGTGAAGTCAAATACATCCTCATCAATCTATGACATTTAATTTTTAAAAAGTTTGCCAAAGTGCCCTTGGCCAGATTTTTGTTCCCTTTTGTAAGGCAGAAAACCCCTCACTGAATGACAGTTAATTCAGCATTGATTTATATACATATGTTAAAAGACTTAACAACATTTGGGTTATGTATCATCTAAAGATGATACAACAATGCCAGTCATTCTTATTTTACATTTGGACAAACTAAGTTTTGGTAGCATTTTCAGTTTACTTCCATGCTATTATTTAAAACTCTTTTTACGTACAGAAAAGAGAATATAACACGTACTGTCTTGTAAATTCTGTTTATATATTTGTGAAAGCAAACTTGAAAGTTAATTGCAATGTTAATCTGTTGACCAGAGTAGTATATATTACCTGACAGTCTAAGGGTGCTTCAATTAGGGTCTTAAAAAATAAAACAGGAACATCAATTGACTTTACCTGTCCCACTCTTGCAAACGTTATCCACAATAAAATTCATGGAGTAAACTCATTACTTTAAGGTTTTCAGTTAGCAGCTTCTAGTCTACAAATCATTTAGGAGGAAAAAAACTAGACAAAGAGGCAAAACTTCTTCTGAAGAATTTCAGGTATGAACAGCTCAACTATCCCTCACTGCCATCTCTCCTTGAGTTGTCCCTATAGCACCTTATTCAAGAAGAAAAGAAAAGGGAAAAAAATAAAATCCTAACTCTAAGTATTTTACAAAAATTTTCTGAAAGACTGAGACAAAAATAGGGTCTATTTCACTTTGCAACTGCCTGTAACTTTGGCATAATAAACTCTAAGGGCACAGCCTTCACCAAAACACTTAAAAACAGCTTGAAAGAGGTACTTGCTGCCCGTTATGTTTACTCAAGCACTTGTTTAAAAACACATTTAAGGAAAATGTTTTTATTTCTACACATTGCATTAATTATAGCTTTGCAAACACTGCAAACCCTACAAGAAGATTGAACTGAGCTATTAGCTGCAAACCTCAGGTCTTGGCTAGAAAAGTGGTTATGGTTTATTTAGCAAGCCTAATGAATTGGCTCACCCATCTCTACACAGAGTTCCGTGTAGCCTGGAATAGCCAGAGAGGCTTGTTTCACGTCGCTTTATAATTAAAAATAAAGTAAAATCCGTCAACCCAAGACGGTCCAAAACCAGACCTCACTTCAGCATTATTCCTCTTCGGGAAAACAAAAGCATTAATACGGACATTGACGCTACACCGAAGCAGTGCGGGGACCCACACTAAACTTCCATTTGGCTGCCGCTGGCAGTTCTCCCCTGGCAGCGCCCGGCGGGGCGGCGGTGCCGACTGCTCCCCACGCTGCCGGACAAGCCGTGGCGGAACTCCCGCCCGGGATGGGCTCCGTCCCCCGCCCGAAGCGGGGCTCAGCCCCCGGCCCGGCAGCCGCGGGATGCCCCCTCGCTGCCTGGGAGGGGGCATCAGCCCGATCAGGTGAGCCCCGGGCATCGACCTGGCGGGCGCTCGGCGCCCAGAGCCCAGCAGCGGGGCGGCCTTACCGTGAGGGCGGAGAGCTTCTGTGCCGGCACGGCGGGGAGCAGCTCCGGCAGCAGCAGCAGCAGCAGCGGCACCCACATCCTGAGGCGGCGGCGGGCACGCAGCGACTGCGGGGAGTGAAGCAGGGGGACTCTCCTTGGGATGTCACTGCCTTCCCCCCCCCCCCCCCCCCCCTTGATGCCTGCTTTTGCTCCTTTTCAATCGCTCCGGTGGGAAGTCCCAGCTCAGGTCCTCAGTTTTCTTTTTCCCCGCCCTAGTCCTTAAAATTTGGGGACGGGTGTATAAGTGAGAGGCGGCGGTTTCTCCCGCTCTCTGTGTCCCTCCCTCGCTCCTCGGGAGTCAGCCCCGGCTCGGAGATGCTCCCCAGCTTCTCCTCTCCCGGCGCCCTCCCACTGCCGGGGAATGTGCCGGACGCCGTCGCCTCCCCTGGGGCGCCGCGCCTGCCTCCGCCTCGGGTGGGCAGCTGTCTAGCCCTGGGGGTCCCTTTTTCTCCCTTCCAGCCCCGACTCCTCTGTAGCAGGGGAAGCGGGACGAAACGATTGGGACGGGAAGGAAGGACCCACCACCAACACCGGGAGCACCCGTGAAGGCACTGCCGCGACTAAGAAAGCTGACGGTGTGGACCTCATCGAGCCGCTCTGCCCCTTTTCCTCTTATCCTGCCCCCTCCCCAACCCGGCCTCCCCTTTCTCCTCCCAGACCCACAGATCCTCGCTGATTAACCCTCCCCGATGCTGCCGGGGGGACGCCGCTTGCTTTCCCTGCAGGGTTTATTCCCCCCACACCCCCTCACGCTAAATCAACATGTTCAAATACCAGCAGCCCCTGGTGGTCCCGACCCCCGTCCTGGTGAGCCCCGAGCTCCTCCTGGAGCGCCCCTGCCCTGGCCCCGCCTCGCCGCCCGCCGGGCACCGCACGGGGCGGGAGCCAGGGCCACGGCATCCAAGTTTCTGGCTGGGGCAAAAGCCAGGCAGCAGCTCCCCCGTGGGGCAACCGGACAGCACTGGGGGCTGAGCCAGGCGCTCCGGCACGGCGGGGAGTGCGCACTGCTGGCCCGGGGGTACCCCGGTCAGATGCCGGTGGTGCGGGGCTGCCGCTACGCGTGCAGTCAGTGTCAGGCGAAACCTTCTATCCCACAGTTCTGCGCTCCTTTTGCTCTTCTCTTAGGAGCCAAATAGAGGTATGTTAGTATTTCCTTACGGTGAAGGATCTCCTCTCCCCGGCTGCCCGAAAGAAACCCTTTAACTGCAAATCTGTCGCTGGAGTCCCCCGCTCCTCCCCAGGGAACCGCGGCTCACTGCCAGCCTGCAGAGATCCCCATGGTTAAGTAGTCTCTACTACCAGAGACGCTGAAGCTATCGGGGCTTGCTTTATTCTCCGTGCATGCGTCTTTGCGGGAGAGGACTCTGGCACGAAAGGGCTTTAGGGAGGCTGCAAAGTGGCATGCTCCCAGCACACAAGTGGCAATTTCCTCAAGCATTCAGATCTGACATCCCTGTAGGCTTAGAAATGGTCCTGTGCAGGGCCAGGAGTTGATGATCCTTGGACTTTACGATCCTTGTGGGTCCCTTTCAACTCAGCATATTCTGTGATTCTGGTGGTCACATGTGGCTCAGCCAGGACTCAGGATAGAGCAGGCTCTCTGGAGAACTAGCTGCATGCATGGTGAACCAAGGTGAAGACAAGTATTGATTACAGCCAGAGTTGAGTGCCCTACTTGAGACTGACCTACTGCTGACCTACTGACCTACCTACTGCTGACTTTTCCAGGTTCTACAATGTGCGATGCATACAGCCAACAAAGTAGTTGCAACACCTCTAGGTCTCAGTGAGTGTCCACACTCACAAGAATTTGAAAAGCCCCCTTTTCAAAAGGTGTTGTTCTATATGATGCAATTATCAAAGAAGTATTCACACACATCTATGTGTGCATGGTCTGCAGTATCTTCAGGGCTTTTTAAATGTGAAAAAGAAAATAAAGCTATCATATGGTACTGCCCAGGTCAGAGCATGTTTGAGGCCCTTCAGTACACCAGACCTCAAACTAGCAGCATCTCACACAGAGATAGCAGATTGCCAGTTACTGTAGTAGGCAGTGTAGTATATTTTGCTAGCCTCGTTCTTCACAGCCCTTTCCTCTCAGCTGGGTGAAACTTGGCAATGTTCACATCTCTGTCAGAGGCAGAAGGAGTTTTTTTTCTTGTGACCATGACTAGCCTCTTTCCTACCTCAAAGTTATTCACCATATGTAGAGAATGCTGTTTCCCCCATCAAGTCTCTCATTACCATCGCCTTGTCAATGCAGTCAGTCTCAGCTCCCTAGAATCATCTTTCCAGTCCTGTTCCACCTCCTCCAGTCCATCTCAGTTTGTTTTCCCAGTTCAGGTCTGGTCCCCCTCATCAGAAGCTCGTACCTGCTCTCCCTTCTGCTGTGATCTTAGTAGCTTGCTGGCCCCTCAGTCCCCTTGCCTTCAGCTCAGTGTCCTCCTGTGCACTGCTGGCATGCAGCTGGGCAAATGCAATTCATGGTCAACTTGGTTTATCTATCAAGACCTTAATGACACAGCAGTTTGGATTTGACATTGTAGGGAAAAATCCATGCTCAGAATTGATAAGAAATATGTCTAATAAAAACAAGCTGCAGATTTTTGAGGGTTTATTACTTACTTGAATTTGGGTGGATTTCCACAGAGTTAGCAATAGCCAAAAGGCCAAAATTCTGCAAAAAGGCAAGCCTAGAGCCCAGAAACTGTTGGCATTATGGTTTTAAAATAACTATTATTTTCTCTACTCTGATTTTCCTGTTCTTTTTTTTCCAAAAAAAACTTGAAAATGCCACTTAAAATTTGGTTTTTCTTTTCTTTGCCCCCCATCCCAGAAGATAATTCAGCCTAAAGTAGGTATTTTTAGAGGAAAATGGGAGACACGTTCTGAGTCATGCACTGGTGTCAGTTATGACCCACTTGCCACCTCACACCAGGACCATGTCCAGACTTGAACTGTGCTACATTATGCCTTGTACAAAAGTTTCCTGAGGTCCTACACTTCCACTCTTGTAATGAGGTCAACATATTTATCTCTTCACATGAGTCTTTCTAGAGTAGCTGAGGAAAGCAATTCATTACTTAGATGAGGGAGTCTCATGAAACAATCCTATATAATTTAACAGCAGTGGATCCAAACACACAGGAAATGTTCAGAAGAATTTACTAGAGTATGAATGCTTTCTTTTCTTGTTTTTAATTGTGTCAGAAAAAGCAAAAATCATCTTTCTGTTGTAGAACTGTGCAGGCTGCTTTAGAATCCTGTGGATGGTTGACCATTCTGCATTAAATTCAACAGGATTGTTCCATTAAGAATCTTGGAAACTCTAACTGTGAGAAAGGAAGACTTAGTCTCTTGACTGTTAAGGCTACAGAAAGTATATCCTTTTAGGTTTCAATATAGTACTCTAACAACAGGGATGGACTGCTAGATCCAAGCCAAGTTACTTAGTGGGGGTATGTAAGCATTCAGGAGTCTGCTTTTCATAGCAGGATCAGGTGTTGTTTGGTAGAGGATAATGCAATTCTTAGACAGAGATTCTTTTTCCCTTATGAATTTCTGGTACCCTCCTTCAAAGAATTACCAAGCAGATTCTCTGCGCTCACCTGCTTTTCAAGTTTGCTACTTCTCAAGAAGCAAATGCATTCTGTCATTTCACTTGAGGTGTGCCAAACACTTGATTAATTTTTAAAGTTTGGAAAAATAATGGGAAATTATATTAAAACCCAAGCAAGCAGTTGTTGCAATACTTAGAGAATACACAGGCACGTACAAACATGCAAACAAGTACAGAACAATTATTTCTATGTTGTGTGTCTAGGATCTACCTTTCTCTTCCAGTTTTCTATGCTATTGAGCACCATGAAATCCCAGTCAGTGACAGAGACTGCACCTGTAGTAAATAATAACAAAATAGTAGTAATTAATTTTTTTTACTTGCAAAGCATTATTACTTAGCTTCATTTAAACAAAGATACTGTATCAAACCCAACTGACATCAATGACAAGTGTCCCATGTCTTTAAAATGAACCTGAATTAAAAGCTCACAAATAGAAACCTGAGTAACTCCAGCCCTACTGTACTTGTGGTATCATCAAGCTGTATCCATGGGTTTTCATACTTGATATGGGTGATATCCCACATATACCATATGTTTAGTTTAAAGGAATAATAAAATCCTCTGCTGGAAGATGGACTCTAACAGATAAGTAGGAGTTCGTGGGACTTCTTAAAAAAGTTAGAAATCGTTCAATAACTTAAATAATTTTTTAAGTAGAAAATGGTCTTTGCAAACCTCTTTAAGTTTTAACACAGCTATGAGCAAGCAGCTGATGACTGAGCTGTGTTCTGTGTCACGAGGAACTTGGAGTAAAATTTTTAAATGTTTATGGGAACCAGGGGCTGAAATCTGGCTTTTTGAGAGCTGCACAGGTGAGTCAAACACTCATCCCAAAACACCAAGGCCCACAGATTATTTGATCATTAAAAATAAAGTCAGCAAACCAATCTTTTAGAGAGGAGATAGACTGTAGAAGTCAAAACTGTGAAGGAACAAACTAGTGTGTGTTACTTTGTTCTTTGGGGAAACAGAGAGCTTTGAAAAGCGTCATCCTTCAGTTAGACTTTCTAGTTTCAGCATGCTGCATTTTTTATTATTAGAGCTTACTTTGTGGAGTTTTATCACCCCTTAGTGAGCAGTCAGTATGAGGAAGAGGCCTTAAACCTCTTCAGGGCAACAACAAAAGCAAAAGAAACCCTGTCTGCATCTTGTGTGATGAGAACAGTGCTAGTACCTTTTCCACCTGCCAGAGACACAATTCTATGCCATCCCCACCAACCAATGCCAGCACATTCTTTAGACTTCTCAGAAGGCTTCTTGTTGCAATGTAGAGAAAGGTATTGCTGCTGCCTCACTTACCATGCATTAAATCACCCTCCTGGATCACCACAGCTCTGTGGTCAGAAGTGCAGTGATCTGGGATGGTATGCTTGGGATCAGGACCAAACCCTGAAAAATCATCTGGCTGCTGAGTTAAAGGAGCACCTGGGTTGGCAAGAAGGATGTGAACACCAACAGAGGCAAGAAGGAAAAAGAGAAAAAAATAGCCTTTTGGAAACATTGCTGACAAACCTAGTCTGCTGCTTGATTATCTGGAAACAATCCTGGGATTCTGCATGATTCTTGGAGCAGAAATTCTTCAGGATTCTTGGAAACAAACCATAGTGTGGAGAATATCAGCTGGAGGAGTTCTGTCTGGGGAGGGGTAAATTCATCCCCTACCTTTCATCTAGATTTGCACCAACCATGAAAATCATACAGGAGAATAGCTATTACATGAAGTGAAATACTGGCTGTAAAATGTTTTTCTGAGAGCCAGGGGAGTAGCTGACATAGAGGACATAAGATGCAGTAGAAAATAAGAACACAAAATAATACCAGAAGGTCTAAGTCATAAAATAGCTTCTAAATCATTGGATACAGAAGTAGTATGTATTTATCTCATATTATTATTATTCCCTTTCCTTAGACAAACTTATTTTGCTATCACTACCTGTTTGCTATATGGCTTATCATCTTTTGGAGGCAGTTTTTTATAT